GGTATTGACTTGTGTTTTTCAGATCCATTTATCTCTGCACTTTGAGCTGCTTGGTAAATAAAGACCAGAGTTTGTTTGGGTTACAGATTCATGTTTAACCCGTCCGGATGCTTGTGCAGTACAAAAACATGGTTAAAGGCTTAGCAATACTCACAGAAGATGTCGCCTATTACCCTTCATCACAGTTTTAGCCTAAGATAATCTTATGTTGAGAAATGACACAGTTGTAGCTGTTTTGGTTAAACCCTGAAAATAAGTGTCACATTCAGAGTATTCACTGTGAATTACACTTGGTAGCAGCAACATGTTTTAGCTCAATATCAGGTCAACTGACTAAATTATAGTTAATTTTGTGTTTTCTAAGACCAGCTGGCTGTAATGGCATTCTTAAATGCGTTGGTTTCAAACATTAATTATAGATGTAAATCTAGTGATTATTACTTCCTGAAAGTTGAAATTAAATCCTCCTTGTGGTTTACTAAATATTTTGCTAATGGACATGCAGGTTTTTTTTAACACCATAGTGTGTCACATTGTTGATTTATAATAAGATGTTTTTTTTCCCTCATCTACCCGTATGTGGTTTTTAGTTTTTCTGTTGTTAAAGGTAGTGCAGCTGTTTGTTGCATGACCTGTTTCACCTGTTCCCCCATGTTTGCCTTGTATGTCTTCTTGAATGGGTGTTTCTTAACTGCCCCCTCCCCCCTTCCCTGAATGTACAGCACCTTGTGAATTTATTTTTGTGAAAGGCACTATATAAATAAAACTTTACTTTACATAYGTGCATGCAACCGTAAACAAATGTTGTTGTTAGTCTTGTTACCAGATTTTTATCCTTCACAGAAAGTTGGTCTAAAAAACGTGCARATGTTCACTCTGCACACTTCATATWTTTTGAACAAATGCTGCCATTTAAGAGCTGTCATCAAATAAAAGGTGTTCCAAGCAAAGCAAACCTTTTCGGTTCTGAGTGCACCTGTGAGTGGAGCACCCATCAGTTTGTGTGCCAGCCTTGTGTCTGTCTGCTGAAACCTCTGCCCCGGCCCTTTTGCACAGCCACATGTGCCACCGCTCCATTCTACATGATTTTAATCTCCGATGCTGGCAGCTGCTGGGATGTTGTGACTCTTCTGTTGCAYGACAAGGCCACACTGATTTGCGGGGATTTTTTCCCCCGTATTCTTACGTAGAATAATGGATTTTTAATATCACTTGTTTGCACGTCGGCTGCGCTGTTTTCCTCAAACACCCGCTCCCAGTGACGACAATCACTTCATTGTCTCTCAGCGCAGCTCTTRCAGCTGCTTTGTCTCCAAACGCATGCTTGATTTGTCATCGCAATRAAGAATATTGACTATTTTAAATGGCCGTACTTTGAATTTGATTAAGCACGTACATACAAACAAGCGTCAGCTGGTCCTTTTTTAAATGTGAGTGCTTGCACAGTTTTGGACCTTGGTTATAAATTTCTTACTAGCTAAAGGACGGGAGGAATAAAATGGCCACAAGCCTCATTAATATTATATGTATATTTAATGTGTTTTTATTGATGTTTTCCTYATGACGTTATCTGGATTGGAAATCTAGGTCAGAGGCAGGAAGTGATGTGTGTCTCTTAATATTACTGTGACATATTGAAATCCCAGGTCCAGTTCAGCCTTTAGACACTAGTCTCATGTTTTTTTATTTTTCTGTTGAGCGGCATATAAACAGTCCTTTTTATTAATGGTATTTATGAATCAATTTATAAGTCAGATCCTATGAAATGGACAAAGTATAGATCAGTACAGTAACTGGCAGTGACCTTGTTCTCACATGTTGTGTGATTCACGGAGGGGGAAGTGGAATACCAGMAGGAATTTGTTAAATGAATAATGATGCACAGTTAATCCAGAAGAGTCTGGTTTGAAATAAAAATTGAGGAAGAACCTTTTGAATTATGTTCATTTGCARGTTAATGTGCTTGGTAAAGTTACATGATCTTGATGAACTATCTTTCTGGCAGCTCAAAGTTTAACCTAATATAATGCATTTTTTTTATTTTAGTTTTTTTGTTATTAAAACATGAAGTAAGCGTTTAATTTGCCCAAACTAAATGCTGTGTAAATTACAGCCATCTGCTGCACACGGGCTCTGTGTTAGAGCTTGGAAAGAACATTCAAATAAGGTGACRCATAAACCCTGATGAAGACCCTTTTGACCCCCTCAAGTCATCTTTCATCAGTGACTCATGAGCATTACATCTGAGATTTATTTCATATCAAATTCATTTTTTATTAGAGATAAATCTTACTAAAAAGCAGCAGTGTTAGTATTGACAGGCCATTGTCCTCATCTCTTTATTTTATTTATTTTTTGTAGTAGGAATAATTTTAATAATGGCTATCATTTTTCCRTTTTGGATGCAGCTCAACTTTTAGCAAAAGGGAGCTACTATCATTAATGGGGTTGTGCGTATGGCTGCCTGGGGGGCGGCTTCCTCTAAATCTGGAGTAGTAGGTTAWAGAGGGGAATGATGGTGTCCAGGATGCAGACAGATGTAGAACTTTTTTTTTTTTTTGTTTGGAACGAAGGAGGGAGTTGGGAGACATTTATAAGCCGTGTTCTCCCCCAGGTTGGTCAGTAGCTTCAGCATCTGTTTCCACTGAGGGGCTGTTGGCTTTGTTTCTAAAACACTTATTTTTTGTCTGAAATTGTACTCATCACCCTAATTTCCATCAGAATTGACAGATCTGCTCCAGGTTAACAGTCAGTAAATTTGTCTACATTYACAAACATTAAAATATTAGCATCTTTTAGAAAGACGTTAATAATCACTAGTTTAGTTCAGCTACACTAGTGCACTGCAAAAACTGTCCACCTAACCAAGTTTTAAAGTCTCATATCCAGCCAAAAAGTCTTTTTT